AGGCCAATCAATAAAAAATAACAAAACTAAGGAATACAAAGGATAGAACAGAGTGTGAAAAAGTAGTTTGCATTGACTAGTGTTTTAAAATGTTTAAATTTTAAATCACTGAGAAGCTGAATGTTAAATATCATCCTGATTGTAAGAAACAAGTAAAATTTCTAATAATTCTAACTCCACTTGGTAATTTAATGATGTTACATGCTTTGTACCTAATTTATTTGAATAATGTGGGAACTGAATTATTAGTGAACAGAAAGTACCTAATAGGTACTTGAAAAAATACATTGATATATTTTAAACATCTTTATTTTTTTCAGTTTGTTATAAACCAGCCATTTTTAAAACTGCTGAAAAACTTTACACAGAAAATAAATTTTTGTAAGAGAAAAAACATTATAAATTTTAATAGAGACAATCAATGATTAGGTCATTCAATTTCAATAAGAGTTTTTTGACAGCTCATCCATTTAAAGGAAAAAGAGCCCTTGATAAGATGAATGAAGAAATTTCTAGTAGGAAAGATAGAATCACTATTTCCTTAGAAAAGCATGAAATAAATCTTTTAAAAGGACACAAGTCAAATAAGCTAGACGCAGTGGTTCTAAACTACAGAGATCCATATCTCACTTATTTGATGTTATCTTGTTGTTGTTGTTGTTTGCTTATTTTTTTCAAAATTCATAGTCTCATGGACCAGGGTTGTAGCTGAATGGTGCTGTGCCAGCCTGGCAAGTGCAAGGTCCTGAGTTTGATTCCTGGTGTTAGAATAAAATAAATGTATAGGCCCATGCTCTACTCAAGAATTATAAATCTAAATCTCCAGATATGAGGTCTCCAATAGGTAGATTTCAGGGAAAGCTCCAAAAGGAACTGATACATATTTCTCTAATCTCTGACCTAAGCTATGGCTAAACCAAAATTTTTATAAGTGTATTTGATTTGGTTTTTAATTTTTTTTTGTACCGGTGATCAAACTCGGGTCCTTGTGCTTGCGAGGCAGGTGGCGGAACCACTGAGCTAAATCCCTGGCCCTGGTTTTTAATTTTTTATTAGTATGTGTATGCAGCACATGGTGATTGCATTTATTGTGGGAGTTGGTACATATATATAATGCATCTTAGTTCTTTTTACTTCCTTTTCCCCTCCCCTCCCTCTTTATTCCCTCTATCTCTAGATCCCTTTCCCATTTACAAAATACCACTGTCTCTCTCCTCTCTCTCTCCCTCCCCACTATTATCCATTCTTTTATTTTTCTTTTAAATTATTTATGCTTTGGTTTTAATTTTGAAACCCTTTAAGAAATTTTGAGGGATTGAGATATAAAGATAAAAGGTACTTTTAACCCAGGAAATTTGATTGTTATACTTGCATGACCAGACTTTGAAAAAGAATGAAAATTAAGAAATTGGTTAGAGATGCTAAAGGACTTAGTCAATTCATGGACATCATTAAGCAGATTTGATATATAAAGACATAAAATTATTTGTCACATGCCCACTGATAGTATGTATATCTGATTATAAATAGCTTGTATAGCAGGCTTTTCACTTGTAATGATCAATCACTTCCAGTAGGTGACAGTAAAAATACATTTGAGTATACCTGGGCAAAGCAAAGCTACTATTAGGCTCTTAACCCTTTTTGTGTGTGTGCAATTTCTTAACACCTTCTCTGAATAGTGTTGTCAAATTTAAAAATGCACAGTAATTTATTGATCTTAAGTAAATTTACTGAAAAAGATTGTTAGTTACTTTTCTCTCATTTCTGAAACAAAATACCCAACACCCAAAGTTAAGGGAAGAAAGGTTAATTTTGGCTTACAGTTCATAGAGGTTTCAGTACATAATTGACTGGCTCCAAGGCAGAGTGTCAGAGGGGCAACAGTTCATGGAGCCAGAAGACAGCAAAAGCAACAAGGGACTTTAACAGTGTCTTTCTGTTCCTTTTATCTTATTCAGACTCCAGAATTAGGGCAGTGTTAAACCAATCACTCAGTTGTAGTGGTTTAGTAATCACATGCCCTAAATCACACACTCTACATTCACCCACCTATGACCACATGAGGCATTGGGGGGACATCTAGACCCAAATAACAAATATCTACAAATAGGTTTAATAATAACTGCCATAATTTTCAAGTAGTGATTAGTATAAATACTGTTTTCAGGTAATTTGGAATTGTAATGTGGTGTGAAGACATCTGTGAATTCTATGGTGACAAAATTTAAAGTACTCCTAATAGTATTGTTTATGCTTGCACTCTCTATTGAATTAAATGTCCATATTCAGAGATTATTGAAAATAAAGACAAATTTCTTCCACTTCAACTAATAGATCCCATTAATCTTATCATAAACCGCTAAATGTACCCTAGGTTAAAAATCCCCAATTTATAGAGAAGTGCATTATTGTTATGGGTCATGATTAATATGATCTGTTTTTTAAAAATATATTTGGTGATGAAGCCATATATAGGTGTGTCACACTTTATAAAATAGAAAATGTTTCTAAAAGATATCTCTAAGAGGGCCGGGGATATAGCTCAATGCTGCTGCCGCCTGCCTCGCAAGTGCAAGGTCCCGAGTTTGATCCCCAGTACCCCCCAAAAAGATATCTATAAATCACAGTGTTCAAATCAATTTATCTTCTTTTTTATTATTGTAAAACTGAAAGTGAAATTCTGTGAAAGAGTATGATTCCCAAATATAATAAAATCAATTTAAAACTAGTCATATTTTGAAAATAATTTCAAATAAGGACAAACTTTAGTAATCTTTTTAGTATTGTTTAACGAAGTAAACATATAGTTTTGTTTCCTACTTACCATGTACAAGGTATTGTATATTACTTTGTGCCCATTATCATATTTAATAGTAAAATAGTTATATGAGATTGTTACTTCTCTGATCCCTATTTTACAGACCCAGGTGACTGTGTTGGAGTCAGACAAACCTAGATTTAGTACTGGCTCCACCATCTATCAGCTGAGTGGCACTGGTCAACATTTATACTTAATCCCTCTAAAATTTCTTGCCAGTAAAATAAGAATCATAAAGTTATGCATTGCTTAATGACAGGGATATATTCTGAGAAATGTGTCATTGGATGATATTGTGTGCATTTCATAGAATATACCAAAACAAGCCTAATATTATAAAAGTCAATACTTGGTATGGCCTCTTGATGCAATCAAGAGAAGTGGTAAAGGAAAGTTGTTTGGAGTGCCTACTGGGATAACATGTCATACTGTATAACGTTGAACTTTGTTTCATAACTAGAAGGAACGTACTTTAGCATAGTGATGAAAAGTATAATATTTTAAAGACATAATTCAGTAAAATAGTCATTATCATCAAGTATTATTATACATAACTTTATGTGACTACATTTTTATTTGACTATCAGAGGGTAGGGTTGTTACTTCAATATCACCCCAAATGTGTATACTGTGTAGTGCTTCCATATAAGTCGGTGATTTTATCTCCAGTATAATTTTAGGGGACCAATGTTAGTCATATATGTGGTCTGTCATTGACCAATACATCATTATACATGCATGACTGTATAAAAATAACATCTACTCATGATATTATGAGATGATGTATGATATAATACGAAATATCACCTGGCACAGGATATGCTTGTCAGGATCACCATTGATCTGCATCTTTTCAAATCTAGGAGTCAGTTCTCAATCTCCATCTCATAGATTCCATCATTAACCTTTAAAACAGGTTAAATGCCCTCTTCCTTGAAATGATCTCTTTAATTGGCTTGTACAATATTATTACTTTTGATTCTCCTAACTCACTGACCGGCCTATCCATCCCAGTCTTCTCTGCTATGTTCTTCTAACCTTAAAAGATTAAAAAGTTGAATTATCTAAAAGACTTCTATTTCTTGGACTTCTCTGACTATATATGACCTCAAAAAGTTGGAGTATCCAAAAGGCTTCTTTCTTTCATATTACTGATTATATGATTTGATATACTACCACAATTTGAAATGCAAAGACTAAAATTAATAAACCAATCAAGGCCTCCTGTGAACTCTGAAGACATACATTCTTAGCTGCCTACTCAACATTTATCCTCAGCTGTTTAGTAAGCAATTCAAATTTAACATCTAAAAATGACCATTTCATTTGCTTTTCCCACAAACCTGCTCCTCCCATATTTTTGTCCTCAGTAACTGCCAACTCTATTCTTCCAGTTTCTTAAGTCAAATAATCTCTCTCACATCTCATATTCAATTTACTAAATAAATACTATCCATTCTACCTTCAGAATGACTATTACTCTAATACCTTTGCACCACCTCCACTTCTATCACCCTGAAAAAAGCCCTCAGCTTTTCTTCCAGAGTACTGCACTCATTTTCTAATTGGCCTCCCTGATTCCACTGTTATTCTCTTATGGTTTCTTTTCCAAAGCCAAGGATGATCTTGTTAAAACAACATTGTGTCATTACCAATCAGTATTGCCCTGTAGCTTATCTCAATTAAAAGATAAAATCCTTGAAACTAGCTGTGTTACCTAGCCTGATCATGTGTCCTGTTACTCATATATCTTGTCTATTACTATATTGGTTTCTAAGACATCCCTTGGGATCATTGTACTTTCCTTCAGCTCATCCTGAAGATACCTATAGGACATACACCCTCATCTCCTTAAATTATTTGCTCAAATATGACATTTCCAGAAGAATTTCCCTAGCCACTCTATTTAAAATTGCAAATCACTCCAAAACCCCATATGCTTCCTGCTGCTTTATTTTTCTGAGTAGCATTTACCACCATCTGATAAATATTTCACCCAATTATCATGCCTCAACCAACTTGAATGTTAAGCCCATATTGGCAGATGTTTTTAATTTGTTCATTGCTGCATTCTTAGTATAAAATTTTAATTAAATAACTTTTTCCACTTAATATTTATCAGGTGCTACCCTGTTTATGCCTGACCCCAAACTCATGGATCATGGGCAGTCCTATCCAGAAGACGGGGAAAAAAGCATATGCTACAAGCCAGCAAATTTATGAAGCAGTTAAATCATTGTGGACAAAAAGTACCAAAAAGGAATCACTCCCTGAGCCTAAAGGAAAAACTAAGCTAGGAAACTCTGATGAAACAGAAATACCTGCAGAAACAACTCACATCCTGAAACCTTCAGTGCCTTTGCCAACAGACTTCAGTTCTGCAACAATGATAAAATCAGAACCCACCTCAGGTGCTACCCTGTTTATGCCTGACCCCAAACTCATGGATCATGGGCAGTCCTATCCAGAAGATGAAGATATGTACAGCACTAGAAGCTGAAATAGACTGCATAAAGAACTACAAAATTTGGGAATTTGCAAATGATGATGAAAAATTATGCAACGAGTAACTGACATACACAATATAATTTAAATCAAGTTTTTCCTTGGTGTCTTCCAATATACAGTTTGATCAGTCATGTAAAGGATTAACACACAAAGTCTGAATGCAAGCCAAACAATATTAAATGATTGTTTAAGTAATACAGATTGAGGTTTTAGTTTGCATTTGATGAGTTTCAGTGACTTATTACAAAGCAAAAAAAGCAACGATAAACACATACAAGATTAAAATCTGAATGTATTTATATGTATTTGTTTACATATGTATATTTATGTGTTTTAAATTTTCAAAATTAATTCCAATTAATTTGGTGTGTGGAAGGATATGTTCTTTTTTTCCCATTTCTCTGAGCTGGAATAAAATATCCAAGTGTTATGTCATGTGGGCTTGGCTTTGTCTTTTTGTTTTATTAATGCTAACTCCTCTTAAATGTCTAAAAACATCTCTATTTAAGAAGACCTACAGTATGTGTCATAGACCACAAATTCTAGTAAGTAGTCCTTCTACTGACAACTGGGCAGTTTACTATTCTGTTCCTCAGAAGAGGTATTGTAAACCATTTATTCTTCCCAAGGCTCAAACACCAGTAGAAGTTGACATTGCTTCCTATTTCATTAAGTAAAATTTTTAGACATGGCCATTTGCAACTACTTGCCATTTGCCTTTTGACTTAGCTCTTTTCAGCCATGCATCCTCCTTTTGTAAGTCTAATGTTTCTATTTATTTTCCACATCACAGTGCTTCCAATCTTTTCTAGAGCCATCTTCCTTCCTGTTTAATCTCATCTTTCTCTTTTCACTTGTTTCCTCAATCTCTAAAAAGAACGAGCTCTTCTCTATACAAAAGCAACAATAATAAAAGACAAAACTTTTCCTTAACTTTACCTCTTACTTCAATGAATCTTTAATTTCCTCCTGTGATTTCAATGTTTCTTTAAAAAATAATGTCCCTGTCTTTCAATGTTTTCTACTGTCCAACATCTTGGTATCTATCCCTACTTGAATCTTTATGTAACTATTGACTAGTCACTGTCCTTGGAACTCTTTCCTCCCCTTGCTTTCTATTACTTCTGTTTTTCTTGGGTTTTTTTTGGGGGGGGGTTGTTTGTTTGTTCATTTTCTCTTGCTCTGAATCACTTAAATGGTGAGCCTTTTCAGCTTGCATCTCTTATGATCTGTTTTTCATTCTATGTACTGTCTTATTTTCATTCAGCTAACTTCACTGGTTTCAGCCACCGTATATCATTATTCATATTTCCAGCCTCTATATTTCTGTAGTGCTGCAGACATATTTCTCAATTATTTATTATTTAACCCACCTAACATTCCATAGATATCTCAATATCAGTATGCCTAAAACTAAATATTGCCTGGTTCTTTCTCCATACTTTTTATTTCTCAAATGTATTCTACCTCATCTAATTCTATCATTGTCTTTTGTCAAGATTGTATAATCACTTGGGTTATCTCAATAGTTTACTAGCTGATTTCAATTTTTCTCTCTCCATAATGTGCCCTGTTTGCAAATAAACCAGTTAACAGTTGCTTAAATAAATATCTAAAGTGTGGATATTAGGCAGTACAGGATTGATACAGTAAATCATTAATGCCATCAAGGAACTAGACTTTCACTTTCTGATCTTGATAGCATGGTTGTTTTTCATTTCATGTCATAAGATGACTACTTTACATCTAGGGGACACATATACATTCAAAGTAGGAAGAGGCAGGCCAAAATGTGCAAAAGATGCTTCTAGTTCCCTTTAATTAAAAATAAAATGCTTTCTTAGAACCTCCACAGAATTCTGTGTATATTTAAGCCAGAGCTTTACAGCCACATAATTAGTTCAAGAAAGATAAGGGAAATTGTTTTATCCTGCATTGTAAAGGAAATGGATGAGGTTAGGAATGGATGTTGAGTTTGAGCAAACATACAGTGTCTAATACATGACTATTCTAGTCCATCTGTCATTTCTGGAAACAGTTATGTACAGCAGTCTTTGAAAGCTGCAGTAGCTTATTTTTGCCTGTTGAATACAATAAAAACTCCTTAGAATGATATGTAAGGGCCTTCATATGTGATCCAAGTGCACCTTCTCATCTTCCTTCTCCCTACTACTTTGCTGCCAATTTGTTATATTTATGACATACCTCTTGCTTAATGAATATACTTTACTCTTTATGCCTCTTGTTCTCTGCCTGTGCTAATATATTTTCTTAAAATATTCGAGTCTCACTCCACATTCTAACTTCCTGTCTATTCTCCAGATCCAATTCCTTTGTCACCTTTGTCAGTTTCCCAATAGAATTTATATGTTCTTTCCTCTGCATTCCCTTGAATGTGGTATTTATAGATTTGAAGACCACACAATTTATTATAATTAATATTTTTTCACATAGATGTTTTTTTAGGGTATGGCTGAATTATTCTCTTGTGCCTGTGAAATACCTACTATATAGCAAGAATTTATATATTCTGCCATAGTAGTTGCTGCTGGTTACAGGAACAAAAATAATTAAAATTCTATAAAGGACTCATACATACCTGGGAAAAGACAAATTTTATATAATGTGGTATCTGCCCCAAGAATAATATAGCAAAGAAGTATAGAGTTTCATAAATGGAATTTAGTTCTGAGATATCACCAAGATATGTGAGCTGCTCAAGATGAGGAATCAATTCACTTGCTAGTTTTTCACAGGTAACCCTTTACAACTTAACTCCAGTATGTAAAAAGACATTTTTAAACCTCAACTGTTTCTATGTGGATGTACCATATTTCATCAAATATAAAATGTCATAAACTTTTTTAAAATGTTGCTAGTTGAACATTACACTTATCTCATTTTCAGGTACACTGTGAAAAAAAACAACTTCCTAAATTTTCACAAATGTGGTAGGTAAAAAAATCAAAGTATGAGAGATTTTTTAATGAATTTCCTCTTTCAGATTATCAGCATTGCTACAAGCCATTAGTGTATTAGTTTAGATAATGGAGAGTTGATTGAATCTTCAAAAATCTGTCTCAAAGTAAAAGATAAACAGATCTGCACAAACCAGAATATTATGATCCCTTCCTATATTGTACAGCATCCAAAGTCAAATTGCTCTTACACACAGTGACATTCAAATGTTGAAGCATATGGGTATGAATTCTTACAAGGCCTCTTTCATTCTTCCCTTGCCATGTGCATGTGTTCTTCTCTGTTTAACCTGAACAGATGCCAGCCATCTTCATAGGAAATGTATAAAGCCCCTCAATAAGTCTATTATTCAGTAGAAGTCTGGATTTAAATGATGACAAGGGAGTGCATGCAGTTACTTTGATGTCGTGGTTATCTGATTTGTGATAGCATTCTGTTTAAACACAAATGAACAAATATTATTTTAAAGTTTTCAATAACTTATTGAAGGTCTACTGTATTCAAGGTATTATATTTGCATAATATGCACTTCAAGATTATATTATAGTTATCTTTTGGACTTGTCTGCAGTATGCAAAGAGAAAAGTCTCAGAGCTCTAAGTTTAGAAGCCCTTTCTTTGAATGATCAAAAATGATTTGCAAAGCCGGGCATGGTGGCAAGCGCCTGTAATCCCAGCACTTGGGAGGCTGAGGCAGGAGGATTGCTGCAAGTTCAAGACTAGCCTGGGCTACATAGTGAGTTCCAGAGCAGTCTGAACTACATAGTGAGACCCTGCCTCAAAAAAAAAAATGATTTGCAGAGTATTCTGGAGAAAAAGTCTGCAAAAAAATATACATGTTCTCATATGTATTTCCAAAATAAAAGAGAATCTTTTATGTTATACTCACTCATATCATGGACCTATTTTCTGGGAAACATTGCCTCCTAATCTCCTTCATGCTTCTACTGGAAAAAAAAGTAGTGTGGTTATATATTATATAGATATCAATTCTGGTAAAAAATAGAACGATCTATTCAAGTATTTGAATTGAAAATCCACTTTAATTTGCATAAAATATGAAGACATGTCAGACATGTTGAAGTGGTAAGATTAAGTACCTAATTTATGCCCTGTTACAGAATAGCTATTGAAGGAAATGATAATGTAAAGGATATTAACACTAATTATAACATGTACCTGAAAACATTTTCAGAACCTCAGCTTCAATACCTAGGCCTATTAATGCCAAATAAATGCTCTGTTGAAAAAATTCCACTTAATCACTTCTTTAGTTTAAAATAAGGAAATTGTAAAACCCTGTATCTGATTATTATTGTACTCCAGTGTATATTCAAATTCAATTCATGAATAGTTCTTATATCTTTTTCCTAATTGGAATGTGGTACCAAAGGTAATGGGAATAAATTTGAGTTTATTTTAAAGATCAGTGAAGAAGTTAATAGAAAATGGTATATTTTTTACCTATTTCTACTAAAACCAACCTAAAATATAAAAGCATTTTAAAATATAAAAGTATAGCTATTGTGGCCTCAGCGCAACTGATAAGAGGTGGAACTACATGGAGCTAGCCTATAGCCCCCCCACCCTGCAGCCCCCTGAACTTGGCAGTACACCAGTAAGAGGTGGAACTGCGTGGAGCTAGACTACAGCTCCCGCCACAGCCCCCTGACCTCGCAGTAGACTGGTAAGAGGTGGAACTGCATGGAGTTAGACTACAGCTCTTGTTACAACCTCCCGACCTCAGCAGTAGACCAGCAAGAGGTGGAGCTGTGTGGAGCTAGTCTAGAGCTCCTGCCCCCGCTCCTGAACATAGTAGACCAGTAAGAAGTGGAGCCAAGAAGGGGGCTCCAGTCCCCCCCACCCAAGGCCTCCCAGCCCACCTCTGGCCTCCTGGCTAGATGGTACCTGGATTTACACCACAGAAGCCCAGGGTTGTAAAGGCCATTGTCCTGAGCTCTAACATCGATTTTGATTTAATTCACACAGGTAAAGGTGATAGATTGATCACTACCACAAATTGTCATTTTCTAAGCTGTGCTTAATGCTTTTGGATTGCTGATTATAACACTTGGGCTAAGATGTTGTGATTGATCTAATCAATTGTCCTTCGTGGTATAATGAAAAAGAGATTGCCTCAGAATCATTAGACTCAAAACCTAAAGACAGGCTATAACAGGAAGATAGATGTATAAACCCAGGTATCAAATGAAGAACAGTACTAAAAACAAAAATAGAAATGAGAAGACATTCAAACAAGGCTCAAGAACAAACACAGACTTCCAGCTAACCAAAGGCAAATTCTGGGGGGAAAGAGGTGGAAAAGTCTGATAATCACCTGGGCAACCTGAACTGATAGCACAAAAAGTAACAAAACAGATGAATGAGGCTCTTGAAAAATTCACAACACACATAATTTCCCAGATAACTACAGAGATGGTGAGCAGAATGAATGAC